ATATTCTCTGTCCATGTGTATTTATATAAATAGATGCAGTTTCTTTGGCTTGAATAACGATCACTGGCTTCGTACATACAGGTATACTGGTTTACCTGTTTCTAGTTGAAATATAGCCAATCTTATTAACCAAGACAGTTGGACATTTGCCACATGTCACAACACTCATTTCCAAGTGCCATAGCTTGAAACAAGTAGTCAAATCTGATATTGGCTGGAGCTTTAGTTTATATGGACATGGTAAATGGCAAACTAGATGGTCAGAAAGTAATAAAAATAATCACAGCTTTACTCCACCCACCCCACTATGAAGTAAAAGGCTGTTTATAAGGCCATGTATGATGGTTTCATTTTTCTTATGGAAAACAATTTTAATTAAAAACTTCTATGCTCCTGTACCCAACCGTGGGGGTTCATCACACTAAACAACAGGTGTCACTATTACTAAGATAAATGTACTTTTTTTTCATTAAAATTACTGATATATATATATAGTAATATGTGATGAAGATTCTGTTCTTTGTGTGAATCAGTCAAATACATTTCTGAATTAGCATATGCGCTTGGTAAATATACAACAAATGCAATTCTTGATTTAAATACTGTTCTATTGGGGTTGTGCTTCTGATAGAGCAAACACAGTAAACTATTTGAACTACTCGTATTTTGTCTACAGACTCCCTCATTCTCATTCTCATTAGCATTTTGAGAAATATATGTTTGTTGTGCCATTTTGTGGTCATCTCACAATTTATGTGATTTTTTTTGAGGTCTTCATCACATATCACATCACTTGTCTTATAAATCTTTTGTTTGGGTTCTATTGTTGATTTTTCACAGTTGCTTCATTTTTTTAATATGACAGTTATAATGTGTATTATTTAATAAATAAAAACAACATATACTAAATCAATAGCCAAGTATAAATATTTTGTTGTACTGTTTGTAACATTATTGACTCCCGTGTGCGAAGGGCACAAAAGGGAGTCTTTGCAGTTACCCTGTCTGTATGTCTGTATGTCTGTATGTATGTATGTATGTATGTATGTATGTATGTCACTTTTTTTGTTCCACCGTTATCTCAAGAACCACTAATCAAATTTTGGTGAAACTTGGTACATAGATGCTCTGGGATAATGCGCAGAGTTGATTAGGTTTTGGTAAAAATCTATGAATATTAATTACCTAATTTGCATGATAATTAGCTGATTTTTAGCTGTTCCAAGACTGTTCCACTGATATTTGAAGAACCACTCATTGGATTTTGATGAAACTTGGCACAGGGATGCTCTGAACCAATATGCAAATTTGATTAGTTTTGGGTAAAAATCTATAAATATTAATTACTTAATTTGCATGATAA